TCGAGATCTAATTATTTAAACTCATCAGTCATATGCTTGGAAGATTTGGAGGAGTCAGGTTGGCTAATTCTTGTTTTAAATAGAATTCTTTTATGTTGATGAACCTCTATATTAAATGTCATAATATATTTAGAACAAGATAAATATTATATATAATATTGAACTGAAATACAGAATCAATCAACATGAGCAATTTCTGATACATTTCTGACAAACCCATTTTTTTTACATCTGCTTGAATACAAATGAAAAAAGGAAAAAAAAAGCTAAAATAATAATGTCAAACAATACCATTATTCAATCAGTAATAAAAGTAATCCTCAAATGTATGCCACCATTTAGGCCTCCATGGAGATGTTATTGCTTTTGCTGGGATGTTCCACAATATGGCATTACATTATATTTCTTGCATTAGAATAATATGCCTTCTTGTTGTGAGTGGAGTCACCTCAATGACATGTCGAATTCTTGAACATCTCTGGCAAACCAATAACACATGAGACGACCAGGTGTCAGAACCTCCACCAAAAAAGTGACATAGAACATCTTTAACCAGGACTAAACCAGGCCCAAATAAAAACAAGACTATAGTACAAATACTTGAATGGCATAAGAGTATGATTATAATAAATTCTTTGCAGGTTTCCGTCTGAACAATCCTTTGCACCAGGTCATTGTGGCCCGCTACAGTGAACCCAGCCTCACCATCGACTTTGATAACTTCGTCAGCTGTCTTATTCGCTTGGAGTCTCTTTTCAGTAAGATTTCACATTAATTTAACTACATACTGTAAACAAACAGACCCATGTTTCTACAGTTTGATTCACCGTGGAATACAGGATCCACTATTCCAGTATCAAATGCATGTATATTTTTAAGCAAATATCCAAAAGGAAAGATCACAAACATTAAATCTGATCCACTATGTCATTCTACACCCATCCAACAACGCCAAAACTCTGCATTTTGGGAGCTTTATTTGTCCCCTCTTATATGTGCAATAGACTTACTAGTACAAAATGTTATGTTATCTGAAACCCAGCAATATAAACCCAAATTTTCTTCATTGCCACAGAAACCTTCAAGACTCTGGACAAAGACGACTCTGGAACAATCGAATTAAATATGAGAGACGTAAGTCATCCACTCATTTATTTATATTGAGAGTGTAAGATCAAGTGACATTTTGGTCAATATAGAATTAGACAGTCTCAGTAGCATGATTTCTTCGATATCTCGTTTTTGATCATTCAAGAGATACAATATTTTAACTTGCTAATTGCTATGGCAATGACCATAATTTTTCATCACTTTAAAACCCAGGGATATGAGATAAATATTGCACTGTACTATAAAAAATGTATATATATATTATTATTGAATATATTAGTTACAGATAAATTAGACATAGCAAAACAAAGTGTAATCTCTTCTCAAAATGCTTTTAACAAATAACTTGATAGTTTTTTGTTTGTAACATATTTTACAGTTAAACAGCAGTATATTATTACTTTAAATCTTTTATAATGGTAAATGTGTGTGAAAGTTACATTTTAAAATTCTAATTTGTATGGAAAGTCAGTTTAACATATAAAACTTTTCACCTTTAATAACTATGGTCTTTGTATTTGACAGTGGTTGACCCTGACCATCCTTTAGAGGATCCACACCTCAATGTGCCATTTTTACTTCAGATACAAGAAATGGTTTTCCTCAGTTGTTGGCGTGCTTTAACTTAAATGAATGAATGATTCTACGTTGTTGTTGAGAATCCATCCAGGACCAAATGATTCTAGACATAGATTGTAGATTATATATTATAGATTGTTTAACAAAATATTATAGTTAAGGATATTTTGCATTGTTGATGGTGTCTTGTCATGGTGCTGATTCATTAAAATGAAAAGGAAGCTATGGAACTTCTTTGTGGTTTATTTATTTAAATGGATTTATTTTGCATAAATAAATATTTTGCACATTTTGTTCAGTTTTATAGCCCCTAGTCCAAAAAGTAACTCTAAATGTAGAAAAAGTTACACATTGCAACTTTTAATAATTATTTGTGTTGCTCCCTATAAATGTTCTTCCCTATAAATGTTCTTTTCTATAAGCCAATGCAACATAATAAGACAAACTTTGGTGTGTCACAAAAGTTTAATTTAATGTCATATCATATTACAGACTGTATCAAGTGGTGGTTAATGTAGTTTTAAAATAATACAGCCTGTAGTTAACAGGGATGCACCAATATGATATTGGTATCTGATATCTGTGCCTATATAGAATATTTTGACGGTTCGGATATCGGTTCTGAGATATCTGTACGAACTGGTATAGATGATTTACCATTTTTAAGCAGTTCTGTAATTACTTTATATGATAAATAAATTACAAAACATTTCGATAATTGTTTCCCATACACATAATAATAATTTCAGTCTCTGCCCTGGTATCGGCTAATATTGGGTATCAGCAGGTACTTAAAGCCATAGTATCGACATTGATATCTGAACATAAAAAGCTGTATTGATGCAATTAATCTGCATAGCCTAAATAGTCCATGAGCCTAATTGGTAGCATCCAGTTTAGTTCCTTCTTTTAACCACCAGAGTGTGCGATTTCACCCTGTGCTGTCAAAACCTGATGTGATGTGGCCAAACCGTGCAGTTTTCAGCAGTTCAGCCTCCACTTCCTGCCCAGTGTCTCATGGCTTGTTTCCTCTTGCTCCTATAAAAGGTTTGCCTGCTTCTATAGCTCCCATATGTCACACAGGGCCAATCTATGATGGACCACCCACACAGGCCTACTTTCTGCTCAACTAAACTTTATTTATCTTAATTGTCATAGCAGCAATTCAGTGCTATACAATCAAGTCAGCATAAAAATGAAGACATTTGGATGTATAACAAAGTTTTCAGTGTTAAGTTAAAGGAACATGCTATGGTCATGTGTTGAAGTGCTGTGTTGGCATTCAAACCCCAGTGAGCCTAGTTAGTCCGGATATAGGGAGGAGCTTTGACTGCCTGAAGCCACACTCTAAACAAGCTGTGTCAAGACTGCAGAGCTCCTGCTTACGTCACAGTGAGAGACACATGTGTTGAGGATAATACCCATATAAAGCAGTTTGATTACCTGTCATGGCAGCATCACCTTGTATAGTAAATTCATTAAACCCACAATAATATAACGTGGAATGGTTCAATTAGGTTTACTTATGTTTTAATAAACAATATTACACTACTTTGCTGCTATAGTTATAGCAAAACAATTTACTAATACAGAAGCTGAAGATGTATTTTCATTTCATGGATGTGCCATATATTCATGGTTCTCAGGGTGAGGAAAAATGAGGACTGTTGCCATAGCAGTTAACAAGTCAAAACAACACAAGTCTTTTGAATGGTCACATGGAGCACATATAAACAGGAAGCTATAAAACCCATGAATATCTTTATTGGTGTCATGTTGTTGTTTGAGTTATTATCATTATTACTCAACTCAGTAGTGGGGAGTAACTTGTAGTCACAGCTTCTCTGAGACAGATTAACATAAATGTGATTGTCACTTCGTATTGAAACAGCCCCTCCAAACAACATCCATCACAGACAGAAATTCATACAGTCAAAGTGGATGAAGATGAGGAAAGAAAATATATACATCTTCTGGAAAAATATTTTTGAATGAAATGTTGAATAGGTCTACATTTTTACTGTGCTCTCTCTATATATATATATATATTTGTTGTTTTTTTTAAGCATATTCAAAGATAAAAAAACATGCTTCTGGCCATATATGAATAATGTATTGTTTCCCTTTTCCTTGTTTTAATTCTAAAGGGGATGTTACGTAATGATGGACATGCTAAGACACGGTAAGGTACTAGATGTGTTGGTGTATACAGGCATGGACTTAAGAGCTGAAACAATGTAAAAATTCAATTCGTTAATCAATATAGTCTGTTGTGTTTCTGACAACTGTAGCTTATATGATTGAAACTGACAGAAAAACATAGACAGAGTATGCAAATGAGCAGGGCCCCACCAGCAACAGGGGAACCCCAGTGGTGAACTCATTGCTATGAGCTATAAAAAAAATGATCACTTTAAAGCGGCAATAAGTAGGGCATCGTCACATTTTTATTTTACTCTAGTTTAAACAGTGTTGTGTAGTTTCGTGAATGTTTGTGAAATAGATTGTTACATGGATGAGAATGAGAAAAGTCATAAGCATTCTAGCAATCTTACAGCCCTCAAGAAGCTAGAAATACATGGGTCTGTATATCCACTACACATAAATCACTAGCAGCCAAAACACATGTAACATTTTATTTGCATTTAGAAGGAAGGATAGATTAAATTGTCTATAGAGATCCCTATATGGACTTGCACCCTTGATCAAATATTAAGGTAATATGGGTGGGCTATGTTTTGTAGTTTTGGAACTTTTAGCACTGGAAACACCCTGGAAGAAAAGTCAGGGCAAGGCCATTAACCAGAAATCAGTGTATTTGAAGTGTAGGCTGCTGTATTATATCCATATAGGTATAGTTCCGGGTAAGATCATTTCCCGTTTTTGGCACGAGTGATACCAAGCTTATTTCTCTTGTTTCCCTTAATTACAACAGATAGAAGAGTTTAATAACCATTTCATACCTGTGTTCATGGGTCTACACCTATTGCCATATAAGGAACATGTGAGGAGTATCGACAGGGACAGGTTTAGTGTCCATATATGGATGGAATTTTCTGTTCCCGCCCATGTCTGCAGCTCACCTGAAAGCTACGCAAAATAGACAATATTGTCATTCTCTGTCTGGTTTTGATGAGATGCGACGTGCAAATGCCACTCTTAGCGTATGTGTGAATGAACATCTGGATTTGGATCATGGCATTCAAATCAGCGTGAGAGTTTACATGCAAATGCTGAGGTTGGAGCTGAAACTGTCGCACCTCACCTGGCTGGGACGATGGAGGAGGAGGCAGGCGGTGAGAGCTGGGAGAGCGTTGACTGGGTGTGGAGGTGTGCGCTTTTGTGGACCCTCCCTCCTCACTGAGTCAACCTGCAGCACTTCCCTATAACTACTTCCACTGCGTCTCAGGTCTTGACACCGGTCGGTCTCCTCAGCGCTCACTCTTCTTACACAACTCTCCAAAGATGGTAAGTGGCTTGTTTTGTGGCTCCAAAAGTACTCACGTTGTCTTTACGCACACCTGTTTGATCAGACTTCGCGTTATATCCTCATGTTTAGTGGAGAAAATTGATGGCGCCAATGGAAAAAGGTGCTTGGGTGACGGGCAGTGCGCGCCGAGTTTCACGTTTCTGTCAGCTATTCATTTTGCGCCAGGTGATCGCATTTAGGGACGTGGTATTAGCGCAGGCTCGTTGCTGGTTTGAGGTGTGGTTTGTATCCAAAATGGAGGGAGCTTTGTTCGCCTTCTTACAGCAAACTTGATAGAATCCCTCGGGGCGGTCTTTCTTGTACGAACTTGTTCTACAATGACTGGAATGTGATAGCCAAGACCTTGGGATTCACAAACTTGGGCTTAAGTGTTTAAATGGTTGGAAGCTAGGTGTGATCATTTAGATTAGGAAAAAAAAAAAAAGACCAGAACAAAAATTCTGTCACTTCTGTCATTATAGTTTTGATATACTTTCTGTTTCAAGCATGTTTACAGCTTTTTACCAGCACCTATGAAAACTCATGAATGCCATTGATTTTATTTTGGTTATTTGGTTATTTTTATCATATGGACTTGTTGTTGTTTGACTCTGACAACATTTGAGTACTTCTGCTGCACTAGTGGGAAACATTTTAATTAATTTCCCTTTTATGTGATTTGCCTACAATAACATCTGTACTTTGGAGATAACAAGGCCAAGATATCCTTCTGAGAAAGATTAGTTATTTCTTCATGTACATTTTAATGATCTTTTCTTTTTCTGTTGTTTCCTTATCTTGTAGTGGAAAAGTCCTTAGAAATGGAATTTGTAGTCTAGTCTATTTAATTTGATTTAGAAATTTTGAATAATTAAAAAGCCTGTATTTGAAATGATATTTAACCAATATTGAAGATATACGCTCTGATATTTTGTGTTTTAGATGAATAAGGACTTCTAGTGCGTGAGAAGCTCAAATTAGGATTGTCAAATTGTTGGTGGGTGGATGCCTGCTACTAGGTCTGTGTAGGTTACTAGAAGTGTGTTATTGGGCAAGATACTTCACTCTACGGCCTGTGAGAATGTGTTAAGAGTTATTGGTGAGCTTCAAAGAGGTTCATTTTGGTCTTCTAATATTATTTCCAAATAAAGGTTGTTTTTAACCAGTGTGTTTCTTCCCTCTGAAGAATGATGCAGAAGGCCAAAACAAAACAACCTTTGGGGAAAAGTTATTGGTGGGGTTAGTGGGGCAGTTGATGTAGAATTGTTGCCAAATCTCTGGGAATCTGCCCCAGGGCACTTTCGGTACAGAAGTGGCCCGTCATCTCCGGGCTGTGACAAAAATAGAAATGGTTCCACCCAACATAAAGTAGTTCCAACAGAAAATTTCTGAAGCTAAATATTGTACTTCAAATATGTTCTTGTGACTGACTTGTTAGCTTAAATGATGCTGAGTTGCCCTTTTATGATTTGAACAGGCATCTGGAGTTAAAGTGGCAGATGGTGTAAAGGATGTCCTCACCACAATGAAATTAAACAGGAATGCAGATGATGCAAGTGATCGCATCAGAGTGGTCGAGCTCGGCCTGAATGATGCGAAGACTGAGATCGAAGTCAAACAAGTCGTCATGGAGAAGGATTTTCAGAGACTGGGCAATGTGTTTAAGTACATTCAGAGTCTAATGGGAGAGAAGGAGTGCAAATACATCATATATGACTGCCATTATGAAACCCCTCAGACCAAAAAGGAAGATCTGATCTTTATTATGTGGTAAGTTTTTGTCATTTTAATGTCAACATTACTATGCTACTGGACCTATGTTTTTATGTAACTTGTATGTGTGAATGTTTTCAGGATTTGCGACTGTGCCTCCCCCAAACACAGAATGGTATACTCAAGCTCCAAGAGTGCTCTAAAAACGATTTTAGGTGAGTTGTTTGTTTGGGTTTGAGAAACCTCTTATTTCCTAAAAAATAAGAATAATGTAACCATGTAATGTTGTCTTCTGCAGACGTCAAGTACCAGTTTGAGATGCATGGGAGAGACGAGATTACCTGCTCATCATTTTGCAGTAAAATAAAGGACAAGATAGTGAGGTTGGAGGGCGAGGATGTAGATGCATTGTAAAAGAACAGATGTTGAGGAGCAGATCTTCCAGGACATTTAAGGGTTTTTGAAGAGGAGACTTGTCTCAAGATTAAAAAAAAAATATATGTCAAATGTTGTAATTTTACATGATGTTAATTATTTCTACATGTATTATGAGCATACATGGGACGCCATTTGTCTTTACTTGGGAGTTGTATTCATTCTTTCTGTAGTGCAACTAAAACTTCTCAATATTGCTGGACTTTTATGTGTCATCTGGAAGACCAGATACAGCTTTCAATAAAAAACTATAAAATACATTTACTCATGTTGTGCAGTTATGTCACTTTTCAAAACCAATGCTGAACTTTTAAATACCAAAAAACAAACTGACTTTAAAAAAAAAAAGTCGGAGAAATGATCAGAAGTTTCAGTAAAAAATTTTTTTAAGATGTTTAAATATCCAACTTTCCTGCTCAAATCTTCTAGACTTTGACAAACTATTGATCCGTAAGGGGAATTACTTTAAGACGGGAGCTCACACATCACAATATATATAATAACAAAGTGTTTATAAATTCAAAATAAATGGCAAGAGACTGATGTTAAATGAGTCATAATTATACATATGTACAAATAAAAACAAAATAAATATAGTAATACAAAATATAAATCTGCTATACACAAGAGATGGGTATGGAGTACCACACATCCACACACTAATTTCATTTTTCTCATGTTTGTTTTGTTAAATATCAGATTTTGTTTTGTCCTTTCAGTTATAAAGTAGATGGCACGTTCCAACAGATACTCTTTAAGTTACTCTTAAGTATTTTCCCCAAATACGTTTTTTTAAACTTTTACTTGTGTAATTACTTGGACCACTACTTTGTACCTCCACTTGAGTAATATTATTTTGAAGTAACGTTATTCTTACTTGAGTAAAATGTTTGGCTACTCTACCCACCTCAGCCAGGTTTTTGATTTATTGTGTTCATTTATCGGTGATGAGAATTCAACAGTCACAACTCCGCCCCTTTGGTGTCCAGGTTTGTTGATGTGTTTTTTTTTTGTTTTCGTTTTTGTTTTTTATCCAATGTGATATGTTTTAGAAAGTAATTTAAATGTATTCTTAGTTTTATTGCATGTTTAAATTTTATGCTCATAGTCTGTATACTGTATACGTATAAATGTATATCTACATTTTCTATAGCGATCACTCCAATTCCTTCGTATGCAATGCATTGTTTTTAAGAATATGGCACTAAAGGACACTGGCATTTTACAATAAAGAGCAAACATTCATTACAAGTACAAATACAAAATAGACTCTACTATCCAACAGTTCACATAGATCAGAAAATATACCTTGGGTTGTGTTTTGTTACCTTCATAGGTTAAACAAAACCCTGCATACTTGGGACGTGTAGTTCTCTCAATCAGAAAGCGTGAATGATGTCATGTGGTAATACAGGAAATGCTCCACTGTGTTTTTAAACTGCATATATGCACCTTCACTGTAATCATTTGGATAATTTCAGCCCTGCAAATGCCAATCTCTAAGGTAAAAGATAGCTGTTAACATGAAAACTGCTGCTCCATGATATCACAAGGTTGAACATGAGCATGAGGATTCTGAGCTTTATAGATTTAGACTAATAACAAAGAGTTACTTAAATAAAACAGAAAATAGGACATTTAACATTTAGTGGGTGTTGTAATTGTTTTTATCAGATAGATGATTGGACTATATGCCTAGTTTTGGGATGCCAGACATTACAGTAAAAACAATGGTTAAGTTTAAGAGACTGTATTAAAGTTTTAAAATCGTTATTAGTGCATGACCTACAAGTACCTTTTAAAGAGAAAGGGGAAAAAGACACACAACACAAATGAAGCTACACTTTATTTTATTAATTCATATAAATGTCAACATTTCTTTAGTGGCCAGGTACAAGCCACAAATATGACACTTACAGAGCCATAAAAAGTTCCCAGTAATTAACATAAAAAAGACATAGAAATTAATTGCACAGGTTGATGTACGTTTAACGCACACTCATTTTCCCTTTTAACACTGAACTATAGGAGAGAAGTTTATAATAAAAAAGCTGGGAATAGATAACTTCTGGCTATTCTGACATGGCCAGAAATGGAATGCAATTCTCAGTTTAGATAAAGTATTTTCATCTCCACTTTCATTCTGAAATGTTTCATTATTGTCGCCACATACATGATTCCTACAACAAACACATTTAACAGAAGCACAGGAAAAGCTTTGGAATGCATAAACTATTAATAATAAGGCATATTTGGCAATTTTGTGTAGTGTCTTTGATGGCCCTCTTCTCAGACCGATGTTCCTTCTTTGAGCTCAACGTCGTCTCCCTTTAAAAATAAGTGAAGAATTAGTGCATTAATCTAACAAAGCAGTGACTCTCAAACTGTCCTACCAGGCTTTACTAATAACACATTACCGATTCAATTACAATTATAGGACAGGTTGTGAAAACTTTCTCAATGACACAATTAAAATATACTTTTGTTTGGACTCAGTTGTAATTCCATAGACCCATGTGTTTTGATTCCATTTTATTCTGATATGAATTATTATTTCTTATTTTATTGCTTGAAAAAACCTAAGGATGCAGACAGACTTCTTGGTAACACCACTTCAAATGCACTAGGACTAAATCAGAGCTGAACCAGGAAAAATGTGAAAGTGCCCTAAAAGTACTACACCAGGGTTTGAGAATATTTGATTTTAGCTGAATGTGTATTGTCTCACATTGGTATCCACATGTCCCTGTAGAGTCTTCACAGTTTCTCTCTCTTTGCTGAGCTGCTCCTGAGTGGCCTTAAGAAGCTGTTGAAGTTTGGTGGCTGCTTGTCCCAGATCTTTAGACAGCTTTTTCTCCTTTTCCAAGCGCTCCTGTCACCAAACATGCCATAATGTTACAAACTCTACAGGCTTTAGGAGTGCTGCAATACAAATAAATGGGGAAGTTACCATGGTAGAAAACAATGTTTATATAAGTGGTTTCTGCACATACTCTGTGATGTTATACAATTATGATAAATATTGTGTTGCTCAATCAATTTAGAAACCTACTAAACCAGTATTTTAGTTATTCTTTTAACAAACCGGCACTTAAAAACAACCTAACCAATTTTAGGTAGTCCTCGAATCATGAGGGGGCACACAAAGGGAGGTAACGAGGCACACTTCAAAACTGCAGGTAAACTGAATGTGGCACAAATAGAATACAAAACACTGCAGTGACAAGGGATTTGTGAACACCTTAATCAAAAAGACTAGTAATCACTTAACAGTTAATCCAACCTTGAGTTCATTAACATTGTCCTCTTGAGCGGTTTCAGTGGAGTCCTTCAGAACTTCGAGCTCAGCCTGGAGATCTGCAATTGTTTTCTGTGCCTGGAAGGAAATGAATGCAAAGCTGGTTATTGCAGAAATTTACATTATCATGCACGGTTTTCGAGTGCACATTTTGAACAGCATTAATATTTGAGAGAAGACTGAAATAAGAAGTGATAAACTAATGCAAGAAGAAGATATTTGTTTGTTTTTTTAGAGGACATTATGTCATCTAAATAATCGCAGGAATTTGATCTCAAACTGCCTGTCATTTCAATTTTTATTTGATTATGATTGTGCAGCACTCAAATGCATCGTTAGTGCATGCAGAACTAACTGCCCTTATTGTACTACTAGTTGTACTATTAGTTGTTAGTTTTGACATCTGCTTTGCCCAGTGTTAGGAAGTAACTAAATACATGCACTGAAAATATGTTTCCCAGTACAGTTACTTTGTCATTTAGTGGTATTCAGAATACTTACTTTTCAATACATCAATACATGACAGTACTTCATCAAGTAATTTTATTTTGTCATGGTAAGAAAAAAAGAAAGTGCACTCTTCTCTAATTTGGGGAAAAAAAAAACAGCTGTTTGTAATTATAGGTTGTGTGTTTTTCTCTAATATAATGCATTTCAGTGCAGAAGAATTCAGAATATAGTACTCTGATTGGCCCATATAATGTAATAAAAATACATTTTAATTAAGGTATTCAGTATTCTGTAACTAAATACACATGCAAGTATTCTTCCTACCACTGTCTTTCACATTAACATACCTGCTCAAACTCCTCTGATAGTTGCTGTCTTTGGGCTGACTCCTCCTGCAGCTTGTCACTGGTCTGGCTCAAGTCCTGCCGCACCTGTTGAGTAGTAAACAAAAGGCCATCAGGGCAGACCAATCTTTACTATGGAGTCTCAGTGCAAACACTGAAAGCTGCAGAACGTCACACAGGAGTCATCAAACCAGTATGCCAGGTTTAGCTCCTAAGATTGTGTTAAAAGGAAAAGGTAAATGAGAAGTGTACATGCCAGGAAATGTGAACAAGTATATAGAGCAGTGGTTAGAGGAGCTACTGTGAGAGCCAACAGTAATAAGCACATAAAGTCATAGCAATATGTCGCAAGAATACTGGACAGACATATATATATAAAAAAAAGCTTTATAGTAGACTGTATACTAGTACTTATACTAAAGTGTTAACATTTGTTGACTACCCAAATTATATTTTACTATCATCTTGGTATTGGAATCGGTATTGAGCATTCTTGGAATAAAGTGAACTAGTCTTATAGAAGTATTAGGTTTGGAGTATAACAAGTACGATTTATTTGATTGAAAAGTGTGCTCCAGATGCTTTACTGTTCAGCGAGTCACAGCATGTTTCCCTCATGTGAGTACATGCACCTACTTTATGCATTTAATTAAGAGCTGAAAAAGTTACATCTAATGTACAATATGACAATATGCAACATGGTACATGATCTGAAAAAGTAAGAGTGGAGCTTAAATATATTTTGAAGATACTTTTATTTCCTAGTTGTCATCTTATGAAAAGATTATAAGTTTCCTTATTTACTTTATGATAAGACAAACATTTTCATAGTGTATCATCAATATATGTTACAGCCTATGTTAGTTTCCAATATTCTTATATGTTAGTTAGTGATAACTGTATTTAAAACATGTGTTATAAATAAACCTTGACCTAGTTGTCATCTAGGTGTCACCTAATTTGTACAAACATTATTACATTGTAAAATATAGTGTGTAATGGTTCATAATTTAGTTAATGATAAGCCAAAATGTGTGTAAAATCCTTCAGTCATCCAGGTAGAATCCATGGCAAAGGAGAAATTAAATTTGTCAACTGGACAAAGGTTTATTTTGGTCGAACACGTTTCACAGCTCTAGCAAGCTTCTATATATTTGAATGCTACTGT